CAGCCGTTATGTTCTTCAGTAAATGACTGAGGTTGATTTAAGCAATGAGCGAGTGACAACACAAACATGCCGGTAATGACTAAGCTCTTTTAACACTATCGACCATCATACCTCGAATATCTTCGACGACGAATCTGCCGGCAGCGAAGTTAACTGGTCAGCGACTCTTTCCTTTACGTCCATGTACTGTATGAAAGCGGCCGCTAAGCGGACCTTCTTTTCGAAACTGCGTCGCATCTTCTCGCAAACTGGCTGAACAAATCACGGTTAAGAAACAACATATCCAATGGTTAAACAGGAGCATCTACCTGTACGAAGGAATGTGTTTGAGAGTGGCTGCTCAGAAGCAGGTCTTTGCGAGCTCTACAGTCTGCCGCATCGCGTATTAATTTCTCGTAGCGTTTTCTTGCAGAATCCACGATTGGACGGCATGTTCGCAACTGATTAAGGGTTGAATAGAATTCGGTACGAAAAATTTGCCATTCATGTTCATGATTTCGAAGCAACGATCTACACTGTGCGTGAAGGTACGGAGTGTAAGGCGTCGCCAAAAGGGCTTTTGCATATTCACGGCATGCAACGATCAGCCTGTCACCTCGGTCTAATATATCCTGCCCGCTCTTCAACGAAAAAAATACATGATAAATATAGAACGTGAATTGAAAGCAGGCTCGAACCTTTTCTATGACAATATCAAACACCTCCGTTGTCTGCCAATTAGTGCTGTCATACAAGTTCGACACGCGCTCTCGCAGAGCACAAAATTCCGTTACGAAATTTTGAAACTCGATCATTCTTTGCAGTTGGATGATCACAATCTGAATCAAAGAAAAATCCAAATAAACAGAAAACGCAAATTCCGCAAATAACTACGGTAGGAACAACAATTACAACATATGCATGATGTTTCTTATGACATGCTAAGGTATCAAAGCGATCTATGCATATTTTTTGTACACTAATATGTAGGCACACACTAACACTAACGTTAAGCAGCGAAGAAAGTTATTTTAAATAAACATACAGATCAATCAAATATTTTTTCGTACCAGTTCCCCCTCAAAAAGGCAGTAGAAATTACTCAATATACCTCTAATAACAGTTGCATACCATCAGATATACATTTTCTACAATAGTTTACTTTTTACTGAAGGACGAACCATTTTTTAGATCTAAACATTTGTACAATATGTCTGAAAAATATTCAGTACATATTAACTGCTTGAATGATGACGGTTACACGGTGAACATACAGATAACCTATTATCAGTATTATACTCTAACTGCGGCCTAGCGTTTCAAGCACGGCTGTCCACAGAAGCTACGCCTGTTCTGGTTGAAATTCAAGTTTTAAAAAGAAAGATCAAGCAGCAGTATGCAAACATCTGTTGTATCACATCTAAACTCGGTCTTAATTTCCGTTTGTACACGTGGCATCTACCTGCTGAAAAATACACAACTCTTGCCTACTATATACAAGATAACCTGAGAAATGAGAACAATCTCAAAGCGAGATAACAAGTACAAATATTACACGAAAGAATCTTCAGCCGACTATTTTTAACTGAAATTTCGATGACGCATGGTGACACCGGCGATATGACGATGATGCGGTGATCATGAAACCACTTGAAGCAATAATAACGCAAAATCAGCGATAACACAAAGACGCTAAGATGATGATAACGACGATTATGAAAATAATGTGACGATCGAGCGTGACGCGATGATTCTAATGATGATCACGAGGATAAGAATTTACGATTTAACGGTTATGACGAGGAAAGCGATTATGACAAAAGTTTAACGAAAAGATATTGAGGATGACACGGATTCAGCTACCAACGTGATGACAACAGTGATCATGAACACGGCAATGATGATGACCAGCATGCCTGCTAGGACAACTATGACGTTATGATCGTGACGATTAACATGCGAATGCAAATCACGATCGGGATGACTGTCAC